GCAGCGTTCACATGCGTCCCCCCGCATAATTTCGGCCCCCCCCCATGCGTTGCGTTGTCCCATAGGAAGAAGCTCCTCCGAAGGCCCAAGTGGCAAGGGGGTTCGAATGCGTCCCGAGCCCATGTCGGCACACCCCCCACACGTTGCGTGGCCCCATGGAAAAACTCCCCCGAAGGCCCCAGTGGCAGGGTTCACATGTGCCCCCTCGCACAATTTCAGCACACCCTCACACGTCACACGTTTCGTGGCTTCATACGGGGGGCTAGTGGGATAGTCCACATGCGTTCTCCTGCACCATGCCCGCACAACCCTCACACGATTCGTGGCCCCATTTGGGGGCGCCACTGAAGACAAGCCCGAAGACTGCGTTACTTACATCAGCAGATGGTTGGGTGCTCCGCCCGGATCAGCCCTTCTTCGAGGGGAGGCCGAGCTGGGGGCCTCGGCCCCCGCGCAAAAAACGCGGCCGAGACGCGGCGGCCGACCTGCTGGCGCGCCCCCGTGGGCGTGGGCGCCAGCAGCCTGGTGGCGGGAGCCACGGGCTCGCGAGGGCGTCGGCCGCCGCGCCGTGCGGGCAGCCGAGGGGCGGCAGCCGGCCTGCTGGCAACGCGGGCGGCTGCGGGGGGGCAGCGGGCCTTCCTTCCGTTCGCTGGGCCTGATTCCTGGTGGTGACGGCCGGTCGGTCATGCCAGAAGTGTCGGCCATCAGTGCCTGGACGGCCTGGTCCAGAGCGACAGCCCCTGTAATGAAGGAAAGCATCGGTTCTCGGCAGCTGGCCCTTCGGGGGGCGGCCCCTCCGCGCCCTGGCAGCGGGCGCCGCGGGCTCGGGGCTCGGGCTGGCCCCTCGCTGCAGGACCTGCGCGAACGGGGAGCACCTGTTGCAGGGCCGCTCGCGGGCCCGGGGCTGCGGCGCGGCGTGGCCATGCGGCAGGCGCGCACGCGGCGGGCTTCGCACGGGCGTTCGGCATGGGGCCCGCTCTGCGCGAGGCGCGGCCCGTGGGTGTGATGCGTCCACCTTCCCCTCTACTCCGCGCCTCTGCGCGCGCGTGCTTGCAGGAGGGAGGGCCGTACCACAGCTGTCCGTTCCCAGGCCAGCCTGGCGAGGCGGCGAGGCCGCCAAGAGCTTACGCCTCGCGCAGCCTGCAAGACAAGCGCCACCGATCTATTCGTTCCCGCAGAAACGAGCCTCCCCTGAGCTGGTCACCACATTGCGCAGCGGGGTAGGCTGCCGCAGCCTCGTGCAGCCCCCGGGCGGGCCGCCCGAGGCGACCCTCTGCGGCGTGCAGGACGGCGTTTGATCGCGGGCGTTGGAAGGAGCGGGGGAGGAGGAGGAGGAGGAGGAGGAGGAGGAGGAGGAGGAGGAGGAGGAGGAGGAGGAGGAGGAGGAGGAGGAAAGGAGGAGGAGGATGAGGAGGAGGAGGATGGGAGAGGAGGAGGAGGAGGGAGGCGGATGGATAATGATTGATGATGATGATGATGATGATGATGATGATGATGATGATGAGGAGAGGAGGAGGAGGGAGGAGGAGGAGGAGGAGGCGGAGGAGGAGGAGGACGAGGAGGAGGAGGAGGAGGAGGCGGCGGAGGAGGGCCACGCAGAGCCCGCATAGCGGGGACCCAAAGAGGCGCCCATCCCAAGAACCAGCAACAACACAGATTGGAGGCTGTCGGCTGCTGCGTTGGGCAGGTGCCAGGCCCGGGCCCCGCGAGCGGCTGACGCCGAGGCCTTCGCGCCGAGGCCCCAACGGCAGGCGAGAAGGCGGAGGGCTGCGGAGGTGGCCGTGGAGGCCTGAAGGCGGGCCTTTTCCTCCTCCTCCTCCTCCTCGACCTCCTCCTCCCTCCTCGACCTCTGCCTCCTCCTCTTCCTCGGCCTCCTCCTTACTTCTCCCCTTCTCCTCGACCTCCCCCTTCCCTCCTCTCTCCTCCTCCTCCTCCTCCTCCTCCTCCTCATCCTCCTCCTCCCTCCTCCTCCTACTCCTCCTCTCCTCCTCCTCCCGCCCCTCCCCTCTCCTCCTCCTCCTCCTCCTCTCCCCTCTCCTCCATAGTCCCTCCTCCTCCTCCTCCTCCTCCTCCTCCTCCGCCCCCTCCTCCTCTCCTCCTCCTCATCCTCCTCCTCCTCCTCCTCCCTCCTCTCCTCCTCCCTCCTCCTCCTCCTCCTCCATAGTCTCCTCCTCCTCCTCCTCCTCCTCCTCCTCCTCCTCCTCCATAGTCTCCTCCTCCTCCTCCACCTCCTAGTCCTCCTCCTCCGCCTCCTCCTCCTTCTCCTTCTCCTCCGGCTCCTCCTCCTCCTCCTCCTCCTTCTCCTCCTCCTCCTCTTCCTCCTCTCCTCCTCCTTCTCCTCGACCCCCTGGTCGACACACTGTTGGAAGCAGCGGGCGCAAGGGTGGGGAAACGGTGCAAGCGCCAGTCGGGCTGCGGGCGGGACACGCCGGGAAGTAATCGCGCCACAGGCAGAAGGAAGAGGCAGAGCTGGTGTCGCCACGCGGGACCGTGGTTGAGGCTCATGGGTCGGCGGTCAGCCCAGGGGTGAAGTCAGAGGGGGCGAGCCTTCTGGCCACCGACGGAAGAGCAGGGGTCGGAGCCCACTGTCAACGGCGCGGCTGGCGGCGAGTTGAAAGGAGACCCTGGACGAGGAGGGCGAGCAGTGGCAACAGGGCCGAGTGACGGCCAGTACCCAGCAGAAGCAGAACGACGTCGAACTTAACTTTGCTCTACTCATGCTACTCATCATGGTCAGGATCATTTTCGCGTGCATGGCTCTCAGCGATATTTTTAGGGAAGGCTCGGAACAAGGTAAAGCAAGGATTGAGAACAAACACGCTCACATGCGTACGCTGTCTGTTTATGTCGCAGCCTTCTTGGTCTCGACGGATACCATGGCAGTTGCAGCAGCCCTGAGATACACTATTCCTCCTTCTCCTGTTCCTCGTCTTCCTTTTCCCTACTCCTCATCATCCTCTTTCTCTCTCTCCTCCTCCTCCTCCTCCTCCTCCTCCTCCTCCTCCTCCTCCTCCTCCTCCTCCTCCTCCTCCTCCTCCTCCTCCTCCTCCCTCCTCAAAAGTTCCTCCTCTCTCCCTCTCTCTCCTCGCGAATCTCTCCTCTCCTCTACAATCCTCTGAAATCCCTCCTCTCTTCCCCTTCTCCAACTCATATCCTGCTCCTACTCCTTGCATCCCTTCGCAGTCTCCCAACTCCCTCGTCACTTCTCCTTCCTCCCTTCCCTTTTGGTTGTTTGTACTTTCTAATATTGTATGGTGACACGCTTGCGCCTCGCCGGTCGATATCGGTTCAAATCACGCTTGAACGTCTGACTCACCAAGCAGACAATTCAATGTCGACGTTGTTTCGTCCACGTTGCAACACGAGCGGTAGGAGTGGGACACGGCGCGCACCGTGTGTGAGAGAGCCAAGGGTTGCTCTCGTCTAAGCGCCGCACACCTGTTTTTCTGAGAGTGGCGCTCCCCTCTTTGGGCGGCGCGCATCTTTTGGCTCGCCCATTCAGCGGCGCGCTCGCGCGCGAGCGGGCGAACCGTCGGTCTCGCCAACGCGCCCAGCAGATCTCGCCCCAAAGCGGCACTCGCCTGGCTGCGGAAGATACTTTGCTTCCTCCAACTCGTCGGCAGCACGCAAGGGCGCGCATGAGAAGGGCGACGTGCCGCTGCCGCCAAGAACCGCCAAACAGATCTCGCCAGACCGTTGCCCTCCCGTCCTGGCGACGTGCCTCTTGTGCCCTTCGCTGGTCCCGTCGGAGACTTGGCTGCGCGCGAGAGGCCTGTCTGGTGCTCTCGCCGAGGAGGAGGAGGAGGCGGAGGCGGAGGAGGAGGAGGAGGAGGAGGAGGAGGATGAGGATGAGGAGGAGGGAGGAGGAGGAGGAGGAGGAGGAGGAGGAGGGAGGAGGAGGAGGAGGGGGAGGAGGAGGAGGAGGAGGAGGAGGAGGCGGAGGAGGGGGAGGAAGAGGAGGAGGAGGGAGGAGGAGGAGGAGGAGGAGGAGGAGGAGGAGGAGGAGGAAGGAGGCGGAGGAGGAGGAGGAGGAGGAGGAGGAGGCAATGTATTTTTGATTGCTCCACTGCCGCCTGTGCGCAAAAAACGTCCTGTCACTCGGCAAGCCGTTCGAGCGGGGCCGCGCGGGCTCGCGCGAGTGCCTCCCCATGCGCTGGGCGGGGGTGCACGCCAGTGCCGATACGGTGGGGGCATCGGATAAGGAATCCATCTTTTTTACTAGGCAGCTTGGAAGGCCGTTTCACGATGTTTGAACTCGCCTGTCAGTGACAAAGGAATCTTGACACTCAGCTCTACTCGCAATCGCCTCGCTGTCACGCCCAAGAGCGTGGTCCCTGAAACGGGTAGAAAAGCCCGCCCCCCGACGGACTGAGAACGGGATTTCCGCGGTCTAAGGAATCCAGGGTCTGGAGCCTGTGGAACTCCAATTGAGGCGTGGCCATGGACATCACCGCCGCCCTCCTCAACTGAGGAATCATCCAGGGTCTGCAGCCTACTGGGCACACGGATCTCCAGTCGTGCCAACATTGTTTGGTATGTTACGGGAAGGCGGGCGGGACTGGGCAGCGCATGCTGGCTCGTTCGAGATGGTGCTCTCGCCGAAAACGCCGCGCTGAGACTTTCTCATTGTTCTCCCCCCCGCCTGTGCGCGGCCCGTGTTTCGAAGTCGTTCAAGCGGGGCCGCGTGCGCGCGCGCCTGCCCTTCGCTGCGCGGGAACGCGCGCCGGGCCATATCCACTTGTGCCAGCATCTCTCCTTATGCTGTGCGAATGAGGATGGGAGTGGGCAAGGCCCGCTGACTCGTTCGAGCTGGCCGGGCAGACTCCTTCTCATCCCCCCTCCTCCACCTCCTCCTGCAGAGTATTCAACTCCCCCCCTTCCTCCCTGCCCAGTCTGGTCCCTCCTCCTTGCTCTCCCCTCCTGCTGATCCTACTCCCCGTCATGTCTCCATCCTCCGGGGAATCGGTGTGATCCTTCATCTCTTCAGTTTCGCCGTCCGCCTGCGCAGGATGGAGCAGATGCCCAGGAGGATACTCTCCTGGATTTGCAAGTACTTGGCGAGAGTTATGCTACGCGTGTAGCAGCTCACCCACAAGGTGACGAAATACTCGTCGATACTCTTCAGGCGACAGAGACGGTGCATGCTCTCGTCGACATCGTTGTGGTTCTCAACCATGTTCCTGACATCCTTGAGGATTTCTTCAACCTTATCGAGGTCACGCATTCTCAAAGGACCCTCGATCTTGATGCGCCTGTGGGTCATGCGTGAGCAGTTGACCAGCGGCATGAAACCAAAGGTAGAATTCGGGATGTATTGCGGCCGCTTGTCCCAACCCATGACGGTGGTGTAATACCAACCTACTGTCTGAATCCAGCCGTCGACCTTCCAATTTGGATTGAAAAGAAGTGGAATGGGGAAGGAATTATAAACGGAGGGGGGAAGGGAAACATCATTACCACCTCACCGTCGTATTCACCATCACCATCGCCATCATCCTCATCACCATCACTGCCATGCCAGCATTCTCATCATAATAATCATAATGATCATCTCCTGTTCCCAAAATTCAATGCCGTCGACCTTCCCGTCTGGGCTCTGCACCCAGTCGCCCTGAGCAAAAGGCTGCGTCAGGTAGAGCACGAAGCTCGCGAATATGTTCGACAACAAGTCCCCCAGCAGGAATGAAAACGCGACCGCGAAGGAGGATGGAAATGAACACTTCGTGACGAAGGAAGGAGTGATGAAGGTGCACATTATGAAGAAACGTCTGACAATAGTTGCATGCTTGTCAGCGTTGACTCCGAACACTGAACTCTTGATCTATGCATGCGCAATACTTGACAAGCGCGAGTGACCACTTCCCATGCTCGAGCAAACATGCGCGCGGCGGCGACAACATGAATATGACCCGCACTGTCTTCTTCTTCTTCTTCTTCTTCTCTATACTCGTGTTCGTAATAATAGAATGGGTACGGTTCTACTTACTAGGATTCTGATTATGGTTATGACTATGAGTGTGATCATTTTTGCTACTTCTACTACTCGTATTATTCTTATTACTTGGCAGGGATGCGGGTGATAGGGGGCAATGTGGAGACTGACCAACACGCAATTATTTGATATTTACGATGAACGGTCGCGTACGGAACCTATAAATACGCAAGCACGTGCTTCCACATATACCATGCGACACAACACATCCGAACCATACTACGTACACGATCTCAACATGATTTCCTTTGGAACCTTTCCTGCTTCAAAGCGCCGCGCGAAACCGTCAAATACCCTTAGCCAGGCGGCTACGACGACCACACAACGCTCCAAGACGACTCCAACACCCGAGCATACGATCCCACTATGGTTAAACCGAACCTTTCCCGATGAGCTCCGACGAACCATCACGCCCAAACCAACCACGAGGCGCCCACCAAGCCCCCAACGAAGCACCCGACAAGCTCCAGAGAGGCCCCACGAGATCTTAAGTATGCCCCCCCCCGGGAAGCTCGCCTCTCCGATGCCTTCAAGAGGGTGGGGGGAGGCTGCGGCCATCGAGGAACTGTTTCAAACCCGCGCGGCTTCATACCCTGCGCTGGGCAGCACCAGTTCGTCATATCCACAACCTTTCTTCTGCGTTGCTGCGCTGGCAGCGCGGGGTGTTTGCCAGCGGCCATTGCTATGACTAGTAATATTACAAATACGATTGCGATCGCTATTACCATTGAGAACCACTATTTCTATTGAGCTCCTGATGGGGACAATGCAACCAATTCACAACGAAATATCAATATCCGTATTGAACTCCGATTGCAAACACATGTTGCTGCTGCTTTCCAAAAGACAACCAATCTTCCCATTGAGCTCCGATCGAAAGCAATATATCCCTTGAACACCACTGAAATTAGATATTTCCTATCTGACGCCGTCCTTTCTGTTGAACGCCACTTGCATGCAAACTTTACCAATATTTGTACTGAGCCCCTCTTGAACGCCATGTTTTCTTATGTTTTCGAATGGCAAACACATGCTTCGATTGAACTCCGTTTGACTACCAAGATGTCCATCGAATTGCCACGTTTCATTGAGCACCCATGTTTCTAGTGAGTACCGATTGAGGGGAAACTGGTTGGTAAAACTTTTTAATCGTTCATCGGACACCAATATTTCTATTGAGTTCCTTTTGGGGATGACTATTTCGATCGAGTGTATTATTTTCGATGGTTCGTATGGATCTCGATTGAAAACTAACCATCCTATCGCATTGCCCTTGAAAGCTGATGATTCTACCGGGTTCGGCCTGAAAATCAATGTTTCAAGTCCCTTCCGATTGAACACCAGTATTTGTTATGAGTTCTCTTGGGGAACCAACATTTCTACTGAGCTCCTCCGGCTTCATATGGAGTTTCGACGAAGCCTACTGGAACCCGGCTGGAATCCTATTGGAGCCCCAGTGGTGGCCCTGTTTAAGGATGCTGCCGCATCCCTGGGACGTCCATGGAAGCGTGCACCGCGGAACCGACCTTCCTAGCATCCTATTTGAATTCCGTTGGAAGCCGATTTGGGGGCCAATTGGAGCCCCACTGGAATGATAGTGGAGATCAATCGACACTTCGTTGGGGTCTCAGTGGAACCAGTGCTCAGAGGATGAGCCACGAACGCCTCTTTCCTGTAAGCCCAAGCTGTTGCCCATCCATGCAGGTGTCAACAGTGCTCCTCTAACCCGGTGACCAGGTGATGGCCAGGTGATGTCTGGGGCCCAATGACCAGGTTAAACTCTACCTTACTTCCACTGCTGCTACTGCCACCAGTACCACTCGTGGATTCAACTTTGGCTTTTGAATCCCTCCCAGAATCTTCGTCCTTCTGGACACTTCTCTGCCTTCCCTTTTCCTCCTGCTCTTCCTCCTCCTCCCTCACTTCTTCTTGCTCATCCTTTTACTCATCATGCTTCTCCCCCCCTGTCTCCTTTCCGGCCCGACCCTCATTCTGCTCTTCCTTCGGAGGGGGGCGGATCGGGCGACGCGGATTTCTGACCGTCCACACTTCTGGCGCGGGCGGGTTCTCGCGGCAGCGCGCCTCTAGCTGTTCCTCGGCTGTTCCCCTGGCGCTCCTCGTACGCCCGGGGAGCTTTCATCCCGCGCTCGGTCGCTGTGTCATTAGGCTCGCGCGCAGCCCGCTCGACCTTTCGACGCCCCATGCGCTTTCGCAGGCGGCCGCGACACACAAAAAACGTACGCCCAGGGCGCCGGGGGGGGGGGGGGGGGGGGGGGGAGGGGGAGGAGGGGAGGAGGAGGAGGAGGAGGAGGAGGAGGAGGAGGAGGAGGAGGAGGTGGAGGAGGAGGGAGGAGGAGGAGGAGGAGGGAGGAGAGAGGAGGAGGGAGGAGGAGGAGGAGGGAGGAGGAGGAGGAGGAGGAGGAGGCATGGGGGGGGGGGCCAGACGGGGGGCTTCGCTCCTCCTCCGGCGTGCGCCGATCGCGCGGACCGTGTGCCGTGGAGTCCTCGGGGTGCCGACCGCCGTGGCCTGATCTTGTGGGCGTCCCGAGATGAGGACAGATGCGAGGAGTAGGACGGGGAGGAGGGGGAGGAGGAGGAGGAGGAGGAGGAGGAGGAGGAGGAGGAGGAGGAGGAGCAGGAGGAAAAGGAGGAGGAGGAGGAGGAGGCGGAGGACGGAGGAGGAGGAGAATAGGGGAAAACAAACCTGCCTCGCTCTTGACCACCCTCGCTTCCAAGAGATGCCAAACGATGCCAAATTGCAGCCTGTACTGGTCAGGCCGCTCGACGAGGAGGCGCGTGGTATGGCTTGGTTTTGCCTGGAAGCGAAAGCGGGGTAGGTAATTCACGCTCTGAGAGAAGCCCGTGCTGGCGTCGGCCCACCCGGATGATCTCCTCCAGATTGCCCACTGCCCGTCGCGGCCACGCCCGCCGGGTCCCGACTCGGTGGTGCCGCCTTCCGCCGAAAGTTCGGTTGGGCGCGGCCCCCGTGAAAGTTCGGTTGGGGGTGGAAAGTTCGGTTGGGCGCGGCCCCCGTGAACCTGCGCGCGGCTCCCGCCCGCGTCGCGCCACGTGCGGCAGTGCAAGCGCTCTTTGTGCAGATGCGCCTGGCGCATCTAGTTATTTTTCGGTCTCCTTCTGACCATTCCCGAAGCTTTTCTCACAGCTCCCGCATTGTTGCCGCAGCCTTTTCGGACGTCGGCGAACCTTAAAATCTGCGGTTCCCGATCCCGAATCTGATGGACAACACCCGCGCGAATTGGTACTGGGGAAGTTGACTCAAGCTGTCCGGCCGATAACTGCTGCTCAGTGGCTGATACGTCCACATGGGTCCGCCCTAAAGATCGTACATCTCATTATAAACCGTATTCATCATCATTCCCCCCTTCTTTGTCTTTGCCATATTTGTCTTCATCATGTCTGCGCCAAATCCTTCTCCTCATTCAGCCAGCTCCCACTCGTGTTCCACCAATCCTCCTCCTCGTCCTCCGCCTGACGGATCCTCATCACATTTATCCCCATCCATATCCCCCCTTCTCGGTCATCAACACCCTTTTCCTCCTCCTCCTCCTCCGCTCTATCCTCGCCATCGTCATTATCATTATCGTTCCTGATCGTTACCATTGCTCATTATTCCTCCTTCTCCTGCCACTCCCATCCCTCCTCATCCACCTCCTCCCGCCTCCGCCTCCGCCTCCTCCTCCTCCTCCTCCTCCTCCTCCTCCTCCTCCTCCTCCTCCTCACTCCTCATACTTTTCTCTGGCTCCTCATGTTCCTCGCGTTCTTCCTCGTCCTCGGAATGGGAAGGGTGAGATGATAAGGAGAAGGAGGAGGGGGGGCATGATGATGCTGCTGCTGCTGCTGCTGCTGATGATGATGATGATGATGATGGTGTTGATGGTGCTGATGATGCTGCTGCTGATGATGACGATACGGATGATGATGACACTGATGGTGCTGCTGCTGATGATGCTGCTACTACTGATGATGATGCTGATTCTGATGATGATGATGATGCGTATTCTGATTATGATGATGATGATGATGATGATGATGATGATGATGATGATGATGATGGGTATGAGTATGAGTATGGGTATGAGTATGAGTATGAGTATGCTGATGAGGATGATGATGATGATGATGATGATGATGACGATGACGATGATGATGATGATGATGATGATGATGATGATGATGATGATTATGATGATGATGATGATGATGATGAGGAGTGAGGAGTGAGGATGATGAGGGAGGCAGGGGGCGCGGTGACGCGAGGAGGAGAAGGATTGTGAGCGAGGATGATGGGTAAGGAGGGGTTCTGATACAAGCAGACAAGATAATGGAGGGGATGTGCAACAAGATGAACATGCGCACCAGCACCCGCAATAGGAGGCTCACGATCAAGAAGGAAGGTGTGCATCAACAACACATATAAAAGAAACGTTACGAGGAGGAGGAGGAGGAGGAAGAGGAAGATGAGGAAGAGGAGGAGCAGGAGGAGGAGGAGGGGCAGGAATAGTATGAAGAGGGTGAGGGTGAGGAGGAGGAGGAGGAGCAGAAACAGCCTCAGCAGGAGGAGGGAAGGGAATGGGAACGCCATGCTCGGCGAGGAACACCATGAGGAGAATAATCATGGGGGGGGGGACTGGGGATCATGATGATGCTGATGCTGATGATGCTGATGATGGTGACGACGAACGTGATGATGATGCTGATGATGATGATGATGATGAGGAGGAGGATGAAGAGGAGGAGGAGGAGGACCATGGTGAGGAGGAGGAACAGAAAGAGGAGGAAGACGATCGCCCTCCTCCTCCTCCTCTCCACCATCCTGCTCCGCGATTCCCTCTCTTTCCGCCCCCCTTCCCCCCGCCCCCC